CACGAACGGGGGAGGGTCAGAGAGAGGGAGACACAGAATCTGAAACAGGCTCCAGGCTCTGAGCTGTCAGCACAAAGCCCGACGCGGGGCTCGAACTCACGGACTGCGAGATCACAACCTGAGCTGAAGTCTGACGCTCAACCGACTGAGCCACCCAGGCGCCCCTAAATAAACGTTTAACAAAACAATGTAAGATAACTTGAGTGGATAAGCCATGAGGACGAAAGGTACAGCACGCAGAGTATAGTCAGTGGCATCGTAACAGTGTTGCACGGTGACAGATGGTAGGTAGCCCTGTAACGGATGGAGAAGTTGAATCAGTCTGTTGTGCACCTGAAACTAACGTGACACTGTGTGTTAACTGTACTTCAATAAAAAGAAAAAGAGAAAAATGTAAGATGCTATATGGTTCCCTCCACTCGAAACTCTCCAGTGCTTTCCACCTCGCTCCGAGGAGAAGCCGAAATCCTTAGAACATTCTTACGATGGCACCCATGGCCTTCCACAGCCCGCCTACCCCGCGAACCGCCTGAGTTCATCCCTGCTGTGCCAGGTACCCTCTTGCCCGTGGTGGAGTCTGACACGCCCTTCTCAGTCTACTGATTTCTGCCTTGGATGCCATGTGGCTCCCGAGGGTGGGACTTGGGGACACACAGATGCCGAGGGCTCTATCATGGGGCTCCCCCACAAGCCCACAGAGAGCTCTGGAGATTCGGAGAGCCAACCAACACCGTCCCTCGTGTTGCGTGTACATATACGTTCACAGAGTCCTTGATGGGGATGCTGCGTATGGCTGCTGAACTGTCGTATTCACAGAGATGTGGCGTAAACGAGGAAGACGGTCAAAGCTTTACTTAGGTAGACGAGGCTCTCTTATGGTCAACGGGTGCTACCCAGCGTACGGAGCCCGCCAGAGTAGCCACGGACACGCAGGAGAACAATGCCTCCGGAGTTCAGCAGGGGCACTTGAACAACAGCATACCCCTGCCCCCCAGAGCCCTGGGGCTGCCTCCGCCAGGGAGCCCTCGGAGATCTGCCTGCCTGCTGACTGTGTCCTTTTGTCTTCAGCCTCGTCGATGTTCAACCAGCTGCTGAAACCGCGAACCTGGTTTCTGGGCGCCATCCTTGAACCTTCCTTGCCCTCCACTCCTGTTCTCCAACCAAAGAGTAACCAAGTCCTGGCCACTCTACCGCTTAAATATCTCTCGAGCCGTGCTTGCCTGTCCTTCTAGCCCCTTCCCTCCTACACTAATGCAAGCCACCCTCACCTCCACGCAGACCGCTGCTCCAGTGGATGTGACCCTAATCCATCGCGGGCCCCCTCTGGTGGATTCAGTGCAGCTACATACTCATCTGAAACGTGAATGCAGCGTCACCCCTCTGCTTAAAATCGCCCGGTGGCTTCTCATGGCTCCTAGGAACTCAGATTCTACCACCAAACCCGGGGTCATTCTTTCTCTTCACTTGAGTGTGGGCTGGACTCACGCTCAAGAACAGAGCGTAGGAAGGAGAAACAAAGGTACCAGGGAGGAGCCTGGCCAGGTGATCGCCGGTGACGTCACCAGTGACCAGCCGTGTTGATAGCACGAACCTTTGGTATCTTGATAAAAAGGGCACGAAATCTCCGTGGCATTCTTCCCCAAGCCCACGGCCCCGGGAAAACGTCAATCGCCACTTGAGGGACAGTGTACAGAGTCCCTGACCAGTGACTCCCCAAAACTGACTAGGTCATCAAAAAACGAGGGAAGTGTGAGGGGTGGGGCAGACGAGATGAGCTGTGAAGACACGGTCGCTAAACACAGGGTCCCGGACGGGACCCTGGCACAGAGCACGGGCATCAGTGGAAAAACGGACCCAGATGAAGCGTGGAGTTTGGTTAGCAGCAACATGCCCATGCTGGCTTCTCAGTCTCGACAAAGGTCCCGCGGGGTGTCCGGAGTTACCTCTGGGAGGGCGCGGGAGAGTTTACGGGAGCTCTCTCTTTTGCCACTGTAACCTTTGTGTCAACTTAACCTTTCAAGAGGTTCGCTGAAACACACAGAGGCAAGTCAAAAGAACCCCGTGTCGTCTAGCCTTATGTCACCCCTCTCTCCTCCCGGCTCTTTGCTGGGGAGCATTTCCGGCCATCTTTCAGTTCCTCTAAACGTCACGGGGTTTTTCCCTTTCGGGCCTGTGCACACACGGTTGTCTCTTCCTAGAAGACCCTCTCACCTTCCCCACCTCCGTTCTCACTCGCCCTCTCGCCTGGTTAGTGCTTACTCAGCCTTGGTACTTGGTCACTTCCTTGTGACGGGGGCGGGGTGCCGGGGGAGGATGTGGGGATCTCACCAGCCACCTCCTGACCTGTCTAGTCGGAGGGGATGATTGATCTGTGCAGGCTGACCACGTTAGAGTGTGCGGGATCGTTTGCGTCCTTGCAAGTTGACATTTGCTTTATACACCAATCCGTGGTCGCGTTTCCTGAACGTCTGTATGAATACAAATCACTTGGGGATCACGTTAAAATACAAATACAGATTCTGGGGACGGCCTGAGACCCTGCCCGCCTGACAAGGTCCCAGGTGGTGCCGATGCGGTCGGCTCAAAGCCGCAAGTTTTGGTAGGCGGATGGCACCCGGGGTGCTGACGAGAATTAAGCGTTAGGTCTGTAAATGCAGCAATGAGACCACGCGCTTCAGAAAATCCATGCCTGTCTCACCTTAGAGGATGGAAACTCTGTTCGTTTCTGCCATTCTTTCCTCCACCTGCCCCTGCCCACCCACCTGCTCAGTTTCCACACGACTCCTTGAACTGAAGGTACGTAACCACTTTGGCATCACAGAGGTGAGTCAATGGGTTTTCCCTGCTGATGTGACTTTTCTTTTTTAATTTCCAGAATGGCTACCTACTACCTAGGGCGGAGGGAGCCGCCCTTTTCTGGATATTCCCTAGTTTGTAAAATTATTCTTTTTTTAAGTCTCTTTTTAATGTTTATTTTTGAGAGAGAGAGACAGAGAGTGTGCGGGGGAGGGGCAGAGAGAGAGGGAGACACAGAATCCGAAGCGGGTTCCAGGCTCTGAGCTGTCAGCACAGAGCCCGACGCGGGGCTCGAACTCATGAGCCGCGAGATCATGACCTGAGTCGAAGTCGGACGCCCAACCAACTGAGCCCCCAGGCGCCCCTGTGAAATTATTGAACTACGGTTTGGTACTCTAGCTATGGTTTGAAGAACACGAGGGGTCTTTTCTCCTGACCTGGATGTCCGTAAGCAGCGGGGATTTTACCAGAACCAACCAAATGCCTTCCCACTGAGTTGGCTCCTGACCCAGCCTCTGCTAACACACGCCCACCCAGCGCCCGCTCCGTGCTGGGTCTGGGGCTGGACCCTGAGGATGCAGGCAAGTGTCCACGCGGCCCCAGGCTGACAGAACACCGCTGGGACAGACACCGCTGGGACAGACACCGCTGGGACAGACACTGCTGGGACAGGAGGGGGTAGCACTGGTTTCTACCACGTACATGAGCTGGGGCAGGACACGTATGATCTCCAAACCTGTTTCCTGTTCTGTAGCAACATCACAGTAATACCCCCATCACACTCTGTAGGTCGAGCCCTCGCACGGTAGGTTCCAGAGGCGGCGCGGGAGGCGCTGGCCGTGGTTAGTGGTATTATTCCAGCTACGACGGCAGTTCTGCCATCTCCCAGACCAAGCAGTCCTGGATTAACCCTGAGAATCTACCCGCATGGCCGTGCCACAGGGACCACTGAATAACCCGGCAGGGAGACAGGGAGGGACGGTTTACGCCAACCGTCCAAGAGCACACAACCCAGAAAACCCTTCTCAGACACTCGTTTTCCGAAGTCCTCCCTGCCCCCCACCGTGGCTTCCAGGGATTTTCCTCCCTCTCTCTCCCCTCAAATGCAGGGAGGGGAACTAACTGTGTGAGCTCCCCAACCCTGTCTTTCCATGTGACTTACTGACCGCCCCCCCCTTCCCTCTGGGAAGCGACATAAAGTCCTCTGGCCATCTGACACAGACAGGTGAGGTAGGAGCCATCTTTTTATTATTTTGGCTTTGACTCTATCACCCAAGTGGCTTCTCAAAGTATTTCTTCTTAAAAACACTAAAGTCATACGGTGCTTTCCTAGGACGAGTTGTGAGTTCTGGTGAATAAAAAGGACCACTGTGCACTCAGCTGCCCCCGGGGGGCTCCAGAAGCATGAACCGCTGAGCCAGGGAGGCTGAGCCAGGGAGTGGGAAGCTTCAGGGCTGCGCAGGTGCGGCCCAGGTAGCTGAGAGGAGCTGTGTTCCCATGACAGGTGTGCACCGAAGGAATTTTTTTTTTTTTTAATTTTTTTTAACGTTTATTTATTTTTAATTTTTTTTTCAACGTTTATTTATTTTTGGGACAGAGAGAGACAGAGCATGAACGGGGGAGGGGCAGAGAGAGAGAGGGAGACACAGAATCGGAAACAGGCTCCAGGCTCCCAGCCGTCAGCCCAGAGCCCGAGGCGGGGCTCGAACTCCCGGACCGCGAGATCATGACCCGAGCCGAAGTCGGCAGCTTAACCGACTGAGCCACCCAGGCGCCCCCACCGAAGGAATTTTCAAGAGGGACAGCGATGGGGTGAGAAGGTTTTCCTTCCGAGGAAGCCGCGTTTGGCAGTGCTGTGACCAGGCGGGAGGAGAGTTTGATCGCTGGGAGATCAGTTAGGGCCCGATGCAACAGGCGGTTAGTAATGTTTGTTGACTTACACTTGGGTCAAATAAAATTTCCACTGTTTTCACAGGATGATCTCTCCCATCGCAGGCTTGCACAAAGTTTACTTATTTAACAGGTTTGTTTTTTTTTTTTTTTCCTTTTCTTTTGAATTTTAATCTTACGGAAATTCATAAAAATAGACTTCCCATACACTCTGCGTCCAACTTCCAATAACAACATCGTCAATGTAATGGGCAATTATCCAAAGAGAGAAACGCACACCGATACCCCACCATTAACTAATGTACAAACCTTACCTGAATCCACCAGTTTTCCCATTAATGTCCGTTCTCTGGTCCCGAAGCTGACCCAGGAGAGCCAACTGTATTGAACTGTCCTGTTGTGTCTCCTCACTCTCCTCCAATCCCGTCTTTCTTGGTCTTTCATGACCTTGAGACTCGTGAAGACCACCAGTCAGGTGTGTGGTGGAACGTCTCTCAATTTGGGTGTGATGTCTTTCTCATGATTGAGGTTTTCCTGATTTTCCTGTTGGGAGGAAATACCACGTGAACAGAGTTGTGTCCTTCCAGTGTGTCCTCGGAGGGGCCACATGTTCTTGTCACATGTTAACCTGTACTGTCTTGTGGGGAGATGGTTCAAGACCACAGAGATGTTCCGGTTATGCCTCTTTGTTTTTTTGTTATGGATCAGTATTCATTTATCAATCACGAGGCACTTACGGATATTTATGTTATTCCATGGGTTATAAAGTGAGTAAGACTATTTTTTTGTTGCTCGAACTGTCCCAGCTTTGCCCACTGGGAACCCCCGTTTGGGTCCCGGCTCCCCTCCTGACCTGCTCCCTTCCATTGTGGTCACCCCCTTACTCTGTGGCACCACTAAATCTTCTAGGTCCACCTTGGTCCTGCCTCAGCTCTGGAAGCCCTATTTTTTGTTGTTGGACAATGACATTTGGAAACCAGGATCTGGATGCTAGATTTCACTGCTATGGAGGGTCATTGCTTCCAGGTCTGCTCAGGAACAGGACTAGGAAACATAAGTGTATGTATCTAACCCACATCTCTATTTCTGTGTCTATGCATTTCTGTATATACTTAAAATCGCAAATTTACATGGACACTTCCAATTCCAACCCAACACAACAAGGTTCATTCCAACCTTCCCTCCTGCCTTATTTGTTACTTATTTTTCGGGATAGGGAGAAACTGGGACTCTCATCATCTACAATGTGTTTACTTATTTTGTTCAATTCTAGAACACAGATAAAGCAGTTTCACAATTACTAATTTATAACCCTTTGAAAAACAAATGTCTTAACTAGAGTGGCCATATTTGTGTGAAGCTATTTTTGTCGTTAGTCTTACAGAAAATCAAAATGCTGTTTTCCACAGTTACTTAAGTTAGTTCTTTTCTTCTCCAGCATTCGTTGTAATTGTTAATCATGTACAATGCACTTCAGTTTCCGTGTGCCGGCTTGCACTGTTCCTGCTGTACGAACGGGCGCGTGTGTGTATGCAGACGTGGTTGGCATGGTTCGGAGGGTCAGAGCTACACAGACAGGTGTCATCAAAGGAACATCCCCTCCCCCCTCCCCCCCATCCTCACCCATTCCCTACAGGTACCCAAGCTTGGTTTCTGGTTTATGTTTATTTCATTTTTTGTCTTTCAGAAAGGAGATTACGTGTACATACTTTTTTTATATTGTTTTTTTATTTTAAGGACATGTAATTGACATTAAATTCACCCTTTTAATATATGTGCTGCCGAAGCGAGCACATAAATTCACCCTTTTAAAACGTCCAGTCTATTTGGTTTTAGCACATTCACAGTGTTTTGCAACTATGACCTCCATCTAACGTTAGAACATTGTCATCACCCCCAAAAGAAACCCTGCCCTCCTTCCCTCGCAGCCCCAGGCAGACACTCATCTATGCGCTGTCTCTGTAGATTTGACTGTTTTGGATATTTCGTGTAAATGGGATCACACAGTGTGTGGCCTTTTGTGTCTGGCCTCTCACTGAGGTCCATCCGTGTTGTCGTGTCTCATATTCCCGTTACTGTGAGGGTTCCTTTCTTCACACCCTCACCAGCACTTCCGTTCTTGGTTATAGCCCCCCTAGTGGGTGTGAAATGGTATGTCTTCTCGGTTTTGTTTGCATTTCTCTAATGACTAATGCTGCTGAAATCTTTTCATGCGCTTATCAGACATTAATCTTATGTGGAGAAATGTCTAAGTCTTTGCCCATTTTTACATTAGATTATCTTTATTGATGAGCTGTTAAGAGTTCTTCATGTATTCTGGATTCAACTCCCTTATCGTATACATGATTTGGTAGTCCTCCCAATCTATATTTTTTTCATTTTCTTGATGATGTGCTTTGACGTACTGATGTTTTCAATTTTGATGAAGTCCAATTTACTTCTCTTTTGTTGCTTGTGTGTTTGGTGTCAAAACTAAGAAACCACTGCCTAATCCACAGTGATAAAGGTTTGTGCCCCTGTTTTCTTCTAAGAGTTTTGTTTCAGCACTTACTTTTAGGCCTTTGATCTACTTTGAGTTAAACTTTGATTATGGCGTTAGGTAAAAGCCCAACTTCCTTGTTTTCCACATTCCAGCACCATGTTTCTGGGAATAGACTATTCTTTCTCTGTTGAATCATCTTGGCATTCTTTTTCAGGACAATCAATTCACCATAAATGTGGACATGTATTTCTGGGCTCTGAATTCTGTCATTTACCTATCTTTCTTTCCTTATGCCAGGACCACAATGTCTTGATTACCGTAGCTTTGTAGTAACTTTTCAAGTTGGGTAGTGTGAGTTTTCCAACTATGTTCACTTTTTTCAAGACTGTTTTGATTATTCTGGACTCCTTGCATTTTCACAAGAATTTTAGAATCAGCTTATTGATTTCTGCAAAAAAACCAAGTCTGATAGATACTGCATTGACTCTATAGATCAATTTGGGGAGCAGTGCTATCTTAACAATATTAAGCCTTCCAATCCATGAACGTGGGATGTCCTTTAACTTATACTTGTTTTCTTTCTTTCAACAATGTCACATGGTTTTCAAAACTCTGACAGTTGTTAAATTTATTCCTAAATATTTTTTTGATGCTATTGCAAATGAAATTCATTTTTTTTATATTTGTTTGTCTATATTTGTTGGTTTTTTTTGTTTTTTATATTTCAGACTATTTATGTTATTCTAAAAATCTTAGGGTTCTCTAGAGAAAGTGAATCAATAGGAGAGATATTTTTATTATGTATACTTTATATCTTGTTATATATACCTAATCTATTATACATACTTGACAATAAATGCATCATGAAATATACATATGCATCTCTTTATATTACCTCCGTTGTATATATGAATACATAGTTGACCATTCAACAATACAGGCATGAGCTGTGTGGGTCCACTTACACATGGATTCTTTTTTGATACAGTCCAGTACAATAAATGTATTTTCTCTTATGATTTTAATAATTCTTTTCTCTTACTTTATTGTAAGAATTCAGTATGTAATACATGTAACATACAAACTAGGTGTTCATAACTGTGCATCTGATCCGTAAAGCTTTCATCAATGGTAGGCTATTAGTAGTTAAGGTTTCAGACAGTCAACTGTGTGGCGATCAGTGCCCCTAATCCCCATGTTGTTTGAGGTCCAGCTGTATATGTAGCACAACAGAACCAAAAGAAGGTATCTATTTAAAAAATGTTTTTAGTTTATTTATTTATTTTGAGAGACAGAGAACACAAGCAGGGAGGGACAGAGAGATGGGGGAAAAAAAGAATCTCAAGCAGGTTCCATGCTGTCAGCACAGAGCCCAATGTGGGGCTCAAACTCATTAACTGTGAGATCGTGACCTGAGCTGAAATCAAGAATCAGACGTTCAACTGACTAAGCCACCCAGGTCCCTTGGAGATATCTACTGATAACAAGATTTATGATAAAGATTTGACTCGTGTGATTATGGAGGTCAGCAAGTCCAAAATCTCCAGAGCCACGGTCCCAATCTGAATCCAAAGGCCAGGAGCTGCTGTAGAACTGGAAGAACCAGCAATACGTCTAGTATGAAGGGTGTCAGGCTGGAAGAGGTGTGCTTGTATATTGGTCTTGTATCCTGCAACTTTGCTGGGCTCCACTTTACTCGTCCTAACGAACGAGTCAGATCCCTTAGGATGTCGGTATATGAGGTCATGGCATATGCAGAGACAGTTTTACTTCCTTCTTTCCAGTCTGGGTGCCTGTTATTTGTTTTTCTGGTTTAACTGCCCTGTAACCCAAACTTTTTTTTTTTTTTTTTTAATTAAGAGAAATTAACCCTTTGTGGTTTATGTTGCAAGGATCTTCTCTCAGTTTGTCAGTTGCCTTTTAATTTTGTGTATGGCTTTTTATGCTATGAAAAATTATAAGAAACTGTCATACAGTTATGTCTCAATCTTCTCTTTTATTGCCTTTGGATTCTGAGTCACAGCGAGGATGCCTTTCCCTAAACGGAGGTTGAAGACGAATTGTCCTTTTCTTCTACTACTGGTATAGTCCCAGTTTCCACACTGGGTCCTTAATCCATGTGGTTCTTCTTATGTATGGTGTGAGGTACGGACATGATTTTATCTTGCAAAAAAATGGCTGTTCAGCTATTCTAGCACCATTTACTAAGATCATGCTTGCCCCAGTGATTTGAGAGAACATCTTTGCCATACTCTAAACTTCCATATGGTTTCAGGTCATTTCTGTTGTGTGGTCTACTGTGGGTTTAAGCAGCAGTACCCTTCTGTTTAAGGTCCAGTTCCCCAAGGGCCTTTCATTTTCAGTGTTTTCCTAGCTATTCCATTCCATTCCATTCCATTCCATTCCATTCCATTCTATTCATTTTTTAAAAGTAGGCTTCATGCCTAGCACAGAGCCCAATGTGGGGCTTGAACTCACAACCCTGAGATCAAGACCTGAGCTGAGATCTAGAGCCGGATGCTTAACTCACTGAGTCACCCAGGGACCCCTTTCTGGCTGTTCTTGAATGCTTGTTTTTCTGGATGAACTTTAGTAAAGTTGATTAACACAAAATTTACTAAAATTTCTCTACACTTCCAATTATTTTACAGTTCAATCCCTTTATCCGTTAAATTAGCCCTGTCACCTTTTCAAGGGCCACCTGATGTCAACGTGTGAGGGCAAGAGTCTCTCTCCACACCTACTTACTCCCTTAAATTACCCTTTTCTCGCTTCCCATTGCTGGTAAACGCTCTGCGAGCAAAAAAACCCGGGTGTCTCCGTCTCCTCCGTGTTTGCTCCTGTAGGAACAGCGCTTTCACAGGAGGAGCGGGCACCAGGCGTCCCACAGTGAAAATACTGCTGGACCTTGAACGTGTCTCGAATAGGGTAACTTACTCTGGGCCCTGAGTTCTCCAGAGGTGAACACGCTGATCTGGTGTGGGAAAGTCAGCCGACGCATCAACGGCCCATCCTACCCCTCGGGAATCAACCGTCTTCCTCCGACCCACTGGAAACGAAAACGGTGTAAAATGCTTTTGCCAACAAACAAATAATTGTCCCTTTAACCAGCAGGACTGCGTATCCTGCGTACTTCTCACCGGCCCGCCTCGGCGCTCTTTTCGGGCCCCACACAGCCCCTCGTGACGCAAGGTTCACTCACCGGAATCTAGGCTGGCCCTAGGGTCTGACTGTGCCCCTCTCCCCGAGCCCACGATGGGCCAGGGCCGCGCGGGCAGCCGGGGCCACGCGGCCACTCGCTCTCGGCCAAGGAGGGCGGAGGAGCCGCCTCCCCAGAGCCGCGCTGAGCCCGGACAACAGCCGCCCTCCAGCGACCCTGCTCCGGAGCCCGCAGCGAGCCCAGACCCCCCCGCCCCCCGCCCCGGGCTGCACCGATCCGTCCCGGGGGCTGCACCGAGCCCGGACCCTCCCTTGGACTGCGTCGTGCTCGGAGCCTCACCCCGGTGCCCCGCAGACCTCGGACCCCACCCCCACCCCCATCCCCCGGGTCCCGGCCGAGCCCGGACCCTCCCCTTGGCAGCGCAGAGCCCGGGTACGGGCGGGAGGCTGGAGGCGGGCTGGGGGCGGGGCTCCGACGACCCGGAAGCGGGGACGAGCACAGGGGCGGGGCTGGTCCGAGAGATGGCGGCGGCGACGGCCGTGAGCAGCGCCAAGCGGAGCCTGCGGGCCGAGCTGAAGCAGCGTCTGCGGGCGATGAGCGCCGAGGAGCGGCTGCGTCAGTCCCGCCTCTTGGCCCAGAAGGTGCGAGACCGCGGGGACCGCCAGCACAGCGAGCCGCTCCACTCACGGAACGGCCCTGCGCCTCTGGGCTGGCGGCTCTGCACAGGCCCCGGCGCGCGCACGTCGGCACGGGCGCGCGTACGCCCCCGCAGGTGCCATAAAGACCTTCCCCCCCCACCCCCTTCCCAGGCGCACGCACGTCCCCTCCGCGGGTGCCGGGGCCATCCCCCGGGCGCGCGCACGTCCCCCTCACGTGCCGTCGGGACGATCCCGGGCGCGCGCACGCCCCCCCCCAGCCAGGAAGATCCCGGGCGCGCGCACGTTTCTCCGGGGGGCGCGCACGACCCTCCGACCGGGCCCCTAAGAGGGGGGTCCCGGGCTGAGGAGGGCCAGGGTGGAGGTAGATGGCGGCCCGCCGAGGTGAGAGCAGGGTGGAAGCAGGAAGTTCTGGCGGGCTGAGCGGTGGGCGCGGAGCAAGGGGGTCCCCGCGAGTGGCCGGGAGCCGTGGACGCGTAGCGGGAGTCCAGCCGCTTCAGGGACGCGGGCGGAGAAGCGCGTGGCCGCTTCCGACGGGCGTCCGGTGCCCTGTCCCCGCGCGCTGCCCCGGGGTCGGGGAGGCGGGGCGGGTCCGCGCGTCCAGACGGGGCCGCCCCCCGCCTCCCCGCCTGGTTCTGACGGGCGCCCGAGCTCCCTGCGAGCGGCAGGCGGTCCCTCCTGGAGGTGCCTGCAGCGAGCTGCGCCGCCGGAGTTCCTTCATCGCCCCGCCCGCTCTGTCAGCCACCTAGTCCTTACGTGCAAGGTCCCCTTGGGTTAGTGGAGCAAAGCAAGCCCCCCCCCCCATCTCCTTGCGCGTAGGTGTGCGGGGCTGGGGTGTCCTGGCGCACCGAGGTGTCCGAGCTGCTACCTACGAGAGGCGCTGGCGGGTGCCCTGTGCGCGCAGACGGGTACAGGCGCCCTCGCTCGCAGGTGCCCGATCTTGGCGGGTTGGCTTGCGCACGGGAACGCGCTCTGTGGTCCACACTTTCCAGTGTGCGGGGTTGCAGGGATGAAAACCATCTGGTAACGTTGCTCTGAAGGAGAGTCTGCAAGAGGCAACAGACTCGCGAATAAAGACTCGCAGTGCTCCCAGATGGATGGTGTCGAAACTCGGGGGAGGGGCTGTGCTGTAGGAAGATGTTTGAGATGCACTTGTTAGTCTAAGATGACTTTTGTCAGGGGAAGGGAAGATGGCACGTGCAGGAATATCTTGGCAAGAGAGGGAAGGGCACAATTGGACCCGGCCTTTGGAGCGCCACAGATCTGGATTTAATCTGGCCCCACTGTATTTTCGCCGTATGGGGCCGTGGCCAAGTCTCCTAGTCTTTCCCAGGGTCTGGTTCCTTACCCATTAAAGGGATGATGTCATCCTTGTAGGCCTGTTGTAAATGTTCAAACAGGTGTGTAAAGGATAGATTCAGTGCTTCACATGTTTGTTTGTTTTTGAAAGACCTTATTTTATTTCTTTGAGGAGAGGAAGCATCTCAAGCAGGCTCCTCGCGGGGCTTGATCCCACAACCCCAACAAGATCATGGCCTGAACTGAAATCGAGGGTCAGCCGCCCAACCGAGCCACCCAAGCGCCCCTAAAGATTTTATTTTTGAGTAATCCCTACACCCGAGGTGGGTCTGGAACTCACAGCCCCGAGCTCCACCAACTGAGCCAGCCAGGCTCCCCAACGCACGTGTTTGATAGATCCTTGAGGAAGAGCACATTGGCAGCATTTGGGAGACCGGAGTCAGTGCAGTGAGAATCAGCAGGACCTGGGAAGTGGTCGGATAAAGGGCAGCACTGGAAGAGGAGGGCAGTCGCCTGTGGTTTCAGAGACAGGGGTTTGACGTCACTAAGCACGAGGCACGTAGGAGTTGGTGCAGGACTTGGAGTGGCACGGGGAAAATAAAGTTAAGTTCATTCTGTCTGCCTGCAGATCAGAGTTCCTAAACTTCAGGTGGGAAGAGTAGCTCTGCAGACGTAGAGCCAGTGACAGAATAGGGTGACAACTGAGAACTGGCCTCAGAAGAAAGAAAAGTTGAAAAGCAGACCATGACCCTCAGTAATAAATACACTTTACCGCCTACAAATACACACATGTATGAAATGTTTCACAGCCCAGTGTTTCACAATTGTTACTATATACTGTGAACTTTAATATACTCTTTTATTTAAATCAAAATAGAGTATATTAAAGTGCTGATTGTAAGTAACCTGCTATCGATTCTGTGACCGACCAATGGATCATGGCCGAAAACATCAATGTGCTGTGATTAGAACTGTGTTTGCTATAGTGCATGTTCAAGAAAGGTATTAAATGATGCCTTTCTCTCAACGATTTTCTTTCACAAGGCATATTTATTCTTAATGACACAACACCTTTTTTATAATTTAGAAATTTATCGGAAAATCAATGTATGGTAAAGAATTTCAACCTTACGCCATAGCTTGACTTCCCAACCAAAGAAGATGAGGAAATTAGTGCCCTGTACTCACTTTGTCTTGTCCATCTGCCTCTTTCTTTCTTTCTTTCTTTCTTTCTTTCTTTCTTTCTTTCTTTCTTTCTTTCTTTCTTTCTTTCTTCTTTCTCTTCTTGTTTCTTCTCTTCTCTTCTCTTCTCTTCTCTTCTCTTCTCTTCTCTTCTCCAAGAAAAAAGAGCAAGAGAGCACAAATGGGGGAGAGGGGCAGAGGGGAGAGGGAGAAAGAATCCCAAGCAGGCTCCACACTTAGTGCAGAGTATAATGTGGGGCTCAATCCCATGTCCCTGGGATCATGACCTGAGCTGAAGTCAAGAGTTGGATGCTCAGCCAACTGAGCCACCCAGGAGCCCCGTATCTGCTAATTTCTGACTCCTGTATCATTTTTCTTAAATTGTCAAGTTTCATAATATTTGTATTCTGTTTTATAATTAGAGTGAGTCTACTGAGCGTTTTCTGTGGCTGACTGCCAAATTTGGATTTTAAGTAAATAGTATTTATGATATTTTGGTTATATATGTGATATTCACTGTAGAACCGAGTTGTATGGTTGTACGAAAAGGATATATAATTCTGTCATGAGCTATGTGTGGCTAGGTGGAGAATGTTTCAAGTGTCATTACCAAATCCTTTCTCTTGTTATGCTCTAAAATTGCTCAAAATCATGACATGCTTTAGTCTGTTCCTATTTGGAGTATACATTTCTAATTTACCTCTTTTTTTCAAGGAGTTTTTGATTGCCTTTAATTTTCCTTTTTGGCAAAACAAGAATATGCCTTTATCTTGTTAGTAGATTCTTTTTCATTTTGTCTGTTAAAAGAAATCCATTTTCTTGAAAGCACTCTATAGCCCCCTGTTCCCTCTGGTCTAGCCCATTGCATAGCCATTGTCCTGGGGTTTCTCTTACCCTACTTCTGAGTTAGAGCTGTTGCTTGAACCCACTGTTTTCTTGTTGGATTCCTTCCTTCCTTCCTTCCTTCCTTCCTTCCTTCCTTCCTTCCTTCCTTCC